GAAATATGATAAAATAATAATAAAATGTTTAAAGAAAACAACCGACAACAAAAACCAGCTCAAGCAGCACGGCTCTGCGACAAGAAACTACTAAATATCAGTTGTCAGAGGTATTCTGAGCAGTCTTCCATAAAGGCCAGGATTTTCAAACTAAAGGCTCACTGTACACGGGCAGAACATCGAGGTGCCGGCAGGGAACAAAGAGCTGTTCCTCTGCTCTGCGGAGAGAACGCAGGAGCCCCTTCAGACCCCCCGGTTTATCTGCGTGCCGAAGGGCAGCGGCCAAACCATCACTTGCATCAGGGGAGAGCGAGCACGGGAACGATGCCCTCTTCTTCTGGCTACGCCAACACGGCGGGTGACCTTGTGGGTATCCCTCCGAGCTCCCGAGGGAGCTCCGGCCCCGGGAACGGGCTGGCCGCCGCCTCGGGACTCGAGCAGATGTCCCGGCGGGCCTGAGGCCCCACGGCCGGACACGCCCGTCTGGAATGAGGGCCCCCTTCCCAACACCCCCCGCCGCCAGACAAGCCGCCCCGCGGGGACGAGCCCGGCCGCCCCCTCCGTCCCTCCCCGGTATCGCGGCCATCCCCGGGGCCCCGGCCAGCCCCGGCTCGCCGGGAGCTGTAGTTCCTCCCCGCCCCTCCCCGCGACCTACTTCTCCCGGACTGCGGCTCCCGGCGCACCCCGCGCCCGGCCCGGCGCTTCCCTCGGCGGGGCAGGGCACAAAATTTTCCAGGGCACATGCGCGCTGGGTGCCGCCCGCCCTTCCCGGCGCTGCCCACGGCCGGGAACACGCCCCGCGGCCCGGGATCGCCGGGCAACCGCCCCCTTCTCCCCTTCCCTTCCCCTCTCGGCACGGACGGGCGGGTGCGTCCCCACCCTGCAGCTGCGACCCCCCGTCCACGGCTGCGGGACGGAGCCTGGGAGGCCACAAGCACGTCCTTCGTTCTCCCCGTCTCCCCCCACCCGCTGCCTGTCCCCGTCCCCCCGGTGGGGCACGCGGGGTCGCAAACACGGTCCCCAACAGAACGTTCAGATGGAAGAGGACATGTCCCCAAGGGCAAGCTCCTGGCCCCGCACACCCGGCAGGGCACCGTGGATCGGGATGTCCGGGGGGATGGGGATATGGGGGGGGGGCGGCCCAGCCCAGCCCCGGCAGCGTCTTTGTTGTCGCCAGGCTTCTCCCGCTGGAGCTCGCGGGAGCTGCATTCGCCGTGCGGGAAGGGGGACACCTCGGAGACATCCCCCGGCAGCCCAGGGTGCCGCCGCTGCCCCCGGGCCCAGCCTGCCCTTTTCGGGGCCGCTGGGGCTAAGCCGCATCCCCCCCTACCTCAAACTGGGGTGAAGGGAACAAAATGGTCAACTGGGGCACTTCCAAGCGTCCCCTACCCACTGACTTTCATCCTCACCCCCTCCCTTGAAGCCCCATTAATCCCCCCGGGGGCCGCAGCCGCACGGTGACTCCACGGACGGACAAATCGCCTGCCCCGAGCGGGGAGGGGGGGGGCGATCAGCCCCCTCAGGCTGAGCCCTCAGAGGGGATGCGGGCTGGGGAGCCCCGGCCCGAGAAAGGGTGTGGGGAGGGACGCATCCCCGGCCCCACTTACTTCGTCCTCGGCTCCAGGGCCGGTGACTGCTGGCGGCTGTCGGGGGGCCGTAGGCGCTGCCGTCGGGTCTCTGCTCTGTCCCCTCCGTCCCCTTCCTGCCTTGTCCCCGGCGGCGCAGGGCGGGCCCGGTGCTGCGGTGGTGGTGGTGGTGGCGCGCTGTCCCCGGAGCCGCCCGCGCCCTGGCCCCGAGTGAGCCAACTCACGGCAAACTTTCACCCTTAGCAACCCCTCGGCGCACGGATCCGCTCCCGCCCCGTGTGATGCGGTCGCAGGGGGCGGGCCGGGACTACTTCCCCCTCCCGCCGCCTCCCGCAGCGCCCCAGGACGGGCGGGGGGCCGGGCTTGCCTGTGCTGCCCCCGGTCCCGGGGGTGTCCCGGCTCCGAGCGCGGGGGAAGGAAGGAAGGGGACGGATGGTAGCTTAGCGGGGATTGACCTGAGGATTTCCCCAAGCGGCTTAGCCCGAGGCGGGGGTGGGGCTCGGCTGGGCCATCGAACGGAGCGGGGAGAGACAGGACCGTCCGGCGCGTTCCGCGCCCCCACGCACCACGGGCGCTGTCAGGCCCCGGCTCAGTGGCAGGGCCGGCCCCGGGGCTCCCCAGGGAACAGTTCCGTGCACGGGGACAATTCCCCGCACAGCCCCCGCCCACATTTGTAAAACATCCCGTGGTGGAGCCCCAGCCCCGCTATAGCGGCAGAGCTCGGGAAGACGTGCCCACGGGTAACCCCGGCTCCCTCGGTCGCTGCAAATCCCTCGGGACCCCGGGACCCCCGGACCCCGACAGGGGCGGGAAGTCCGGGTGGCTGCGGACCCATCTCCACCGGGCACAACGGGACAAGGCGCGCCGGTGGTGTCACCCTGGGGAGGGCAGGAGTTGCACGGCCACCTCCGTGGCCCCGCCCCCCGACCCCGTGCACTCCGCCCCCCGGCACACGGACTACTTTGTCACCGCACGCCCGTGAGCCTCCGCCCCCAGCGGAGGAGGACCGGCCCGACCGCGGCAGAGTCGGAAGACCCACAAGGTGCGCGAGCGCCGGCCGTGCTAAAAATAACTGCGGCGTGTTAGCAACAGCCTTCCCATTGGCTGCCTGGGCCCGGCGGCGCCTCCGGATTGGAGCGCTGCCTCAGCCAGTGAGCCCGGGGGGGTGTGCGCGGAGGGCGGTGCCGGCGCGGAGGCCGCCGGGAGATGTAGTGGCCGGGGCGGCCGCGGCCTGTCCCGGCTGTCCGCGGTGACCCCGTACTGCACGGCGGGGTGTTCGCAGGCTCGGGGTTACGTGGGGCCCTGGGGGAGGATGGCCGTGGCGACGGACAGCCCCAGGGCCAGGGGCCAATGGCGGGCAACTACACCCCCAAAGACTGAGCCACAGCCACCCCCTGGCATGCTGAAGGCACTCACTCCCACACACAGCTCTGCACCCTGTATTTTAAATCAGACCCATTACTAGTTCCAGGAAAATGAAGAAAATGCCTAAGGGCACCCCCAGAACATGTATTTTACAGTCCAAGGTCATATCACCTTGCGCACACACCACTTGAAAAGGGTTCTGGTTGTCCACACACAAGACAGCATTTGATCAGAGTAGAACTCCAAACTAGTGGAAGGGACACCAAGAACAGCATTTCCAGGCTCTCCCAGTGCTGACACAAGCAGAGGGGGAGGAAGAACCCATCTTGGTGACCCAAGCATTACCACAGTCCCTGTTGCAACAGGGGTTGCTGGCCTGACAACCATCTCCCAAGTGCAAAAATGCAAAGCATTTCTCTTGTCCCCTTACCACAATGGGCCTCAGCATCCTTCTCGGTTTGGTTAGTCCTCACTCACTCAGGACCCCTTTACCTTTGCCACAGAAGAGTACTTCTTTTGAGGCCAGCCAATGTCATGCATTAAGAAATCTGTTAAAGCTCCTTCCCAGCCACAGCACTACAGCAGCCAGCTTTACTCATTTTCCCACTGATTAAAGGAAAAAAAACAACAACTTTTCAAGTGTTTTGGGTTTTGTTTTGGGTTTTTTTTTCTGCAGGGGAAGGGAGAAGGGGAAGATTTATGAGAGCTATTATGAGCAGCCTTATTTTTCATCACTCATACTTTAAGAGGAATTTAGTTACAAAAGAACGCATCTCTTTTTTTCTATTATTCCCTTGCTTTGCTGGAAACAAAATCATGCTGTCAGCCAGAGACCAGGAAATCAAAATGACTGAGCTATTTTTAGCATCATTAAGCAAAAAAAAAAAAAAAAGGCAATTACATTTCTAAAATTCTTTTACTGTTTTAATAAGGTGTTACTAAGAGGGTGTCACACATTAGGGCTCTTTAAAATACCTGCGCCTTGACCGTGCTCCTTTAATTATGGCGTTGCCCTGGTACACATGCAGGCAGAGGAATTCTGTCACAGTATCTGCTCCCACATTCCCTGCCATTTGGCTATTACGTCAAAGCAAAGCTACGGCGTCATGTGCGCACGGGGAGGGAAGGAAGGAATTGCCAAGCCGCCGGCCAGAGCCCGTTTGGCTGGGTTATTTAATGCCAAGGAAGGGCAGTCAGGTTATAATTGGGCATAATTAATACTGCCATACCCTGAATCCTCTGCATGTTCAATTCACATGACAATCCCAAGGAAATGAAAAACTCTTTCCTGCTGTTGGAAAAGGAAAACATCTCCAGCTGATGCCCATTATGAGAAAATAACAGCTCCTGTGCAGAGAAGGTTTCAGAAGCAAGATTTTGTCCACACAGCTCCTGCACGGAAAGCTAACAGGCAGACTTCAGGCCTTCACCTACCTTTTTTTTTTTTGTTTGGTTTGGCTTTTAATTTTAAAGAAAAGTAACACTTCGGGCTCAAAGGCTCGTCAAGACAAGGTCTAGGTGATTCAAAGGACTGGAAGTGTGTTATGGAGCTATTTGCTGAGCTCAGCGGTAGCTGTGGCTGGCAGTTGGTCTGAAGGGGTGTGTAACAGGGAACACCTACATTTCAGAACACACTTGTTAGTACTGGCAACAGTGGCAAATTACTTAATAGGCCAAGAGGTCCCATGTTCTCTCCTTCAGTGTAAATATTTGAAATTAAGGGATTTTTTTTACTTATTACACAACATCCTTTTGATTGAAAAAATAACCCTACCTAGAAAAGTTAACAGCAAGAAGATACATTTAGCTCCATTAGGATTTGCAGGCAGCAGCACCATGGGAGTTCAGCTGCCACATTGACAAAGTGGTCCCTGTTCCTCCCACCATTCCCTGCAGTTGCCATGCAAGTGCTTCGCAGCTGGCAGCCAGGGAGCCCCTGAATCTGGCAGCTTAAGACTCCATGGTCTGATGAAGCCCTCCCAGAGCTTGGCCTGCACACAGCAGGACGCGTCTCCTCTCATACCACCTCCCCCCCCCGAGGGGAAGCTCGCCCTTTTAGCACATGCTCTGGTCTCCAGTACTGTAGCAAGGCAATCTCCTTCTCCTGGACAAGTACTTTAAAATCTATGTAGGTAAAAAAATACTGCACTTTTCTAGGTGCCCTGCCTGGGTATCATTTACTGGTGAACATAAACATTACCAAGCAAGCAAGGCTGTGTTTTTCAGGGCTACTGAAATGTATCCATTACCCTTGTCTGAATTAGCAGCTTCAGGGCAATGTCCCATCCATGCTCTGAAAGTACCAGAAAGGCAGCGGCGCTGAACTGATCTGAGCACCAGCAGCACTTGGCATTTTCCCCAGAGCTGTCTGAGCAAACAAGGCAAAGGGGAAAAAGCCTGTCCCTCCCTCTCTCCACCTGCCCAGTGACTCAGAACAACTAGAAATGGCAGCTTAACTCTCAGAACGGAGACCGATATATCCAGCAGTCAGCGTGAGGGCATCGGGAGTGCCAAGAAAGTAAGTATGCTTAGCTGTTTTTGGGAATGGGGGAAGGGATGGGGAAACTTGTATCTCTATAGCAACCCCTGCCTGGCTGATCCTGCTAAATGATTAGGAACAAGGGCTGCTCTGAAATTAGCTCTTCTAGGGGTCCCTGCATTAGGGGACAAAAAAATAATTCCTAACTTCATTTCTCGCTACCTTCACCAAAAAACTTTTGTCATCTGAAACTTCCAGGAAAGAAAAAAAGTACGTACAAACCCGCATTCCTAGTGCGATAATTTGAGTGGCCTGACTGAGGGCAAGTGATAAATTCTGGTTGAAGTGATAAAGTTCCAGGTACAAAAAATCTGCATGTCATGCCCTGCTTTTAAAGAAATACAGAATTTAACACGGCTGATAATGGCTCTGACATGGACTTCCCAGTCGGGAGCAAGAGGCAGTTACTTTTTCAGGTAGAACTACCTTGAGAGAGCGGGATTGCTGTAATCAAAGAGCCAGATTGCTCTGAATCTCTTGGCAAATGGCATCCACATTCGTAAAAAAATAACAAGAAGCTGTGTAGGGGAACTATGGTGCAGGGAAGAAGACATACGCTCAGGACTGCAAAATGCTTGGAAGAGAAACCTGACAGAATTAATAGCTGGGGGCAGGAGAGGGAGGAGCAGCTGAGATAGCTGCAGGGCCAGTCATAGCTAAAGCTGTCTACAGCAGGGAAAAAGGATTTTAAAGGGAAGGATGATCACAACTTACCTGCACGTTTTCACTCTTACATGAAACATCTATATAGTTAGAGCAGGTAATAGAGGCATTTAAGTCAGAGAGGAGTTAAAGGAATTGGTACTGGCCTCAGGGGAACAGCTGAAATCATGGAAGAGGCACAGAACAAGCTCTGTACCCCAAGACCAGGCAAAGACAACCCTGTTACTGTAGCTCACACTGCTCAGACTAGGAGGACTTTAAAGGCTACAGGGCACACTGAGCTATGACCCTAATTTAACCATCTGAGGACTGTATGCACCCACAGGGAGCTCAGTTCCGCTTCTGCACAAAGGCGCCCATTTCCAGATCTCTGCTGAGCCAACAGACTGCTTTTAGCCTGTACTGGTATTTGACAAACAAGCAGCCTCTGGTTTCCAGCGCGCACACGGCCAATAGCCCAGAACACAATAGTTGGTTTCCCATTACAGAGGGAAGGCTTTAACTTATTCACAAGAACAGGATAGCGAGTCAAATAGCTTAGTAGGTTTTAGAAAGGGATTGGATGTTTGCATGGTGAAACAACATCCACAGCCGTATTAGCTAGGATAAGGGTTACAAGCTCAGCGATCCTCATGCTACGGGACAAAATGATCAGTGGCCGGGATCACAGGCAGACAAAAGCGATAGCCGTTCCCTGAAGCTCCTTGCAGCAAGGTCACGTGGCCATAAGCAGACACTGTCAGAAACCAGATAACCCATTGTGCGGGACTAGCAGGGCTAATCCTGCTTGTCCCCAGAAAGCTCCAGAGAGGCTAGGCACAGAATGAACCGGAGAGAAATCCTTGTTGTACAAAAAATAAACACCCAAACGAAAAGCTTTATTGGTATGCATCCTACAGAAATGGTTACAAGAAGGGGCCTTGGATTAATCTGACAAAAAAAACATGGAACAGCTGTGCTCTCCCTAGGAAGGCACCAGCCATGAGCAGGTTCCTTACAAAACAGGGCAGCATGGAAATATACTGGAGGAATGGAGGAGGGGAGCAGACACATGGGATTGGTGCTCTGTTCTTCAACACTGATGCATGGGGCAATTTCAAATAGCCCAGTAAGAACAACCAGAAGATCTTTCTCCACACCTGAAATGACACTCGCTTTTCACGAGCTGGTTTCCTCCGTGTGTAAGTGCTTGCCCACCAGGCTTTGTATAGAGAGTTGAGGCAACTACTTGCAGAGCTTCTGCAAAGGCAAGAGACAGTAATCCTCATCTGCTCTTGCTGATCGTTGGTTCTGATCAGGTTTCAGTCGTCATTCAGTCTGTTACTTCTCCAGCCCCAGGTATATTACTGAATCTGTACTGCTTTAGAAAAACATCATCAACCGGTTTCCAATAATAGTAAAGTTCAGAGATGTTCCAAGACCCTCTTGCCAACCTGGCAGGAGGTATAGCCATGTACAGATAGGATCACCTCTTCTTGAAGCCATACTTTTTCCTTTCATAGAAAAGATCTGTCTTGGAACTGCCCAGGTTGACGATCTTAGGGCAACCATCTCTCTGTAAGAAGAGAAGATGTAGGTTAGGAGATGGGTGTACACAGGACATTGTCATCACCTGCGCAGTTCTAGTAGGTTCTCAGTTCCCACGCTCCTCGCCCTGTCCTCAACACATATTTCAATCACCTGTGCAGACAAACTGCCCTCCAGTGCTGGTTACCAGTAAGACAGTGGAACAGAGAAGAGTATGGATGCCTCTTCAGGATTACTCTAGGACATTCTCTTCCTCAAGGTTGAGATGGAAAACAGCTCATATAACATCAACAGTTTAATGAAAAGGATGCTCAGTGCCTCAAGACTGAATTCTTTCTAAATTAGGATACACAGGATTTATAGGGCCCAGAGGAATAACCTTTCCCCTCCTTAGTCAAAAAGAATCTTGCTGCTTTAGATGTCACCAAGCCATTCTTGTATATAGGAGCTCCTCTCATCTGTGACAGCAGAACTGAATCTCAGATTTCCTGGATCGATTACTGCAGAGGCTGTATGGTCATCTTGGGAGAGGGACAGCTGCCCCCAGCAGCTACACAGATAAGTTTTTGTACCTGAATTCCAGTAGATTATGAGAAAAAAAGCCACAAGAAAAGCAAGGGGAGGGGGGGGAGACCCACCTCAGAGGTGTGGTTGAAAAAACAAATCAGAGATGCACCTCTTCGTGTACTAGGGGACATTTGTCCATGGGCCACCTGAGCCCAGCATCTGCATAATTCTTAAAAGCAAAATGTTTTTTTCCCAGCAGCTGTGAGGGGCCCAGCAGGCAGAGGAATGTGTATCCTTGGCTGATGTGTAAGCCTGAGTGCATTAGATATAGAAAGCCTCTGGGCAGATGTCAGATGCTGTAGAATCTGCACCCAAGCTGTCCAGCTCCTCTGCCGGAGACATAATCTGCTGGGGAGGGTCTGCATGGTAGAAATAACAGGACAGGTGGGGAATAGAAATCATCCTTCCCCCATACACCTAGAAATGCCACAACCCATTTCTAGCTACTGTCTCCTTATTTGATTTTGAACCTCAATAGTAGGACTCTTCCAAGCCTTGTCTCCCACGATCCAGGGAATCTGTGACAATCTTGACAGCATTATTGCAGGGCTCTGTTCGTTCTTCCACCTCCTCCTAAGAAGGCAGCACACGAGCATGCTCCTGTCCCCAAGAAAAGATTGCTTTTTGCAACTCACAGGTATACTGGGTGACAAGGTGGGATTCTGGCTCTTACCGCAGACCAAAGTAGCTCTTCATTCCTCCCTCCACCAGAACCAATGAATCGAGAGTAACCAGGCCCTTTGCCTGGTGCCCAGTAGAATTCTACCTCCTCCCCTCATTTTAGTATTTGCTTTCTTGCTTCACTATCTTTTTCAGTCTTTCTCTGAGAATGATGGAAGTGCTGTGGCTGAAACTTCGGACTGTAAAAGCTTCAGGTAGAGAGATCTTTCCCTGTTTTTCTCATTCACATCAGCACCAGATACCATATTTGTGACAGGCAATAGCACAAGCAGCCCCTTTCTGGGCACGCACCCTACACTTGTGCCAGCACTTTTCAATCCTGCAACTCAATCATGTCAAATCTGCTGTTTCAGATCTGCAGCAATACCTAACATTTGAGTTTGCTGCTACAGATCAACTGTCTTTGCTCACAGCAACCTTCACCCAGCTGTCAAAATACCCCAGATCTGTAATTCTCCTCTAGCTCTGTTTTCTACAGTCCTCCCTTGCAGAGCAACTGGCTATTTCACACCTGAACTAGACATGATAAGCTACAGGTGAGCTCAGGTTATGAAAAACACCTGTTGGAAATCCATATAAATTGATAAAAATAAAACCAAGCCTATTTTACTCATGACTTATGAAGCCAGGTGTCTTTGTTCCAAAGTCAAGTCAAGAAAACTACTGGTTCTCGCTGCATTTCTAAAGTAGGAGGCAGCACCACCATCACAGTACTTATATCCATGTTCAGGTATGGAAAAAGATTATGGTCCTGTTAGATCTAATGACTAAATTCAAATGAAGACCTGCCCCTGTCCTGGATTTAGCTGAAGGCCTCTAGAGAATACACAGGCACTGCAGAGAATCAAACCAGCAACTCAGTCAGCTGAGGACATTCCTGTAAATCAATTTGAACCATTCTCTCAGCACATCTGTCATTAGGGTGTGTCAAATGACATCTGCAAAGCACCAAAACTGAAACAGCCTTCAAAAAGACAATTTAACAGCTATCAGGCCCATGTTTTGGGAATATTTGAACTGCAAATGTCATGTTCTTGCTCTTCCCTGAGGTCTTTCTAACACTTCATTGCAGTTCTTCATATCCTGCACTGCTTGTGTTGATTATTAACAAAAGCCTTAGAAGAGGTGAACAGCTGCCTCATTTCACGTGTGCAGTGCCTATCTTTCAGCACAAGATTATAAAAAGATTATAGCAATGACTACAGACAAAAGGGACCATTACACCAAAAAGTGTTAGCAGAGAGATGTCTACAGTACAGACCATTCCAAAAAAGAATAAGAAAATATGAATTGTATCCCACTGAAATTATACAAGAGCCATTAAAGTTGTAAAACATGATTACTAATGCAGTCACAGCAACATGAAGTTAGTTTTCCAAAGGAAAACAAAGATTATGATTCCAGTACCATATGTGCCCTCAGTCAGTGGCTGATAACAGACTTGTAGTGAGAAGCTGCTTTTGCCACTGCCTGTGCAGTGTCTGGAATATTTTTGACCCTAGTGAAATCTAGGCTGGAGATGTAGCAGCAAGATAACAACCTGAAGTGGTAAAAAGCAGTGTGTGCAGGAAACAACTGTGAGTGTGCAAAATAATCAGAGACCCTTAAGGACAAAGAGAGTTACGATACCTTAAAATGCTACAATATCTCAAAATGCTTTGCAAACAGGGGGAGCTATCAACAGGGGAAGAAAGGTATGAAGAACCGCAAATTGGTGCCAAGCATCCCATGTCCCAACACTAATTTCAGCAGCTCCACGCCCCTTAAAGGTAAGCATGGCTACTAAGTAAAATCGGGATGACAACATACATCTTTTTCCTGGATGGTGCACTCCTTGCAGTAGTAGGCGTCAGACACTCCCGGGCCCCCGCAGATCACGCAGCGCCCTTGGTACGAGCCGTAGTTACACTCGTCGCAGATGCGCACCAGGGTGCAGGGCCGCACGTAGGAGTCACAGATCACACACTTGCCATCACCTGCAAGCACAGCAGAGCCTTTGGTTACGGAATGTCCTTTTCTCCGCCCCCACATCGAAGAGAAAAAGCTTCCTAGTGAAAGAACTCGCCCGTACACTCAAAGACAATACATCTGAACTGCAGAAATTTATCTTGTACAGGCCACAACCTTGTATTTGCACTAAGACTTGAGAGGAACAGGGGGCAGTAGCCTACAACATTTGAGGCTTTTAAAATTTATTCATACATTCACAATCAGAGAAGAAAACCAAAGTTACTTCCTTGCGATTAGCCAACACTTGCTTTGATCGTGCTACTACTTTTCCTGAATTTTTCACTTGCAAAAAAAAATGCTGGACTGGCAAGATGAGTGTCCTTACATACACAGAAGCAGCAGTGTAAGCTACTTCCACAGTGCCACATCAACAAAAGTACGGAGTTATTGTCCTCAAAGAGATAAGAGACTGTACTCATGGTCCCTTTAATCCTTCATCCGTGAGAAGGCCAAAGAAAGGGCAAACTGGCATAAACAGCCATTTCACAGAGTTGCTCTTGCTCTCTCACAAGGAACTGGGTGAAATTCAAGCACTCGTATCATACAGGCAAGGAGCCATCACATGCCACTGCCACTTTCTGCTGCGTTGGGCCTTATCCAAAACACTGACCTATGGATGAAAGGCTTCGTATCCTATTACCAGTTCCCAAGGTATCTAATCCTGACTCCTGCAAACAGCTCACCTAACCTGCTCTTAAATCTCCAGCATGACAGCCCTCAGCTATTACCAATGGGAATCTGTTTCACTGCCAGGTGCTCTTGAAAATGATCTTTTGCTTCAGACTGTCCTTTTCGCACTTTACTACTTTCATACTACTTTTGAGTCGCAAACCACTCACCTTATTAATTTTGTTCCCCCACAAGGATCTAACAACAGATCTTTCTTCCCTTTTACAGCTGAGCACTGGCATTTGATTCCGTGGGGTTTTTTTTCCTGCTCTAACTTTAGAGGTTCTCCATCCATTTTTTCTTCTACAGACAGAAAGAAGAACCTTTCTCGAGGTATGATGAAGCCATTTTTTCCCCCTGCTTTTAAAATGATCAGGCTGATATTTTTGCATTATAGATATACAAGGACCCATTCAAGCAGTTACCACAGCCTCAGCCACTCGAAATGCTGGCAGTACATACCCTTGAACTGCATTTGCATTTTGAGCTCATAATTTTCCAAGTATTCCTTGAGTTTCACTTGCAACATGCAAGTAATTCTTCCCACCTCAAAGAATGACATCAAGTTTGTGGTTAAAGCAAAAACAGAATAATCCAACCTCTGAATCCAAACTGCATATTCTAACCAAAGCACTATGCTCTCAAGCAACTCTACGTTGAAGCTATACTTACATTTTTCACAAAGTCTTCCGATTGCTGTTAAAAAAAAAAAAAAGAAGAAAAAAGTTATTTGAGGCAGAAGCAGGAGAAAAATCTAAGTAACTACAGAGCTTGAATGTCAAAGAGTTATCTTCTGCAGTGATCAGGTAAACCACAGAAACAGTCTGAGCATAAATGCAAACATATTTATAATAAGCAATGCATATCGTGCTAGAGACATTTACCAAGATCAAAGTTTCGATGCACTGTGAACGCACAATGACACCCATTGGCAGTACAAAAACCTACATTCAGTATTCCATTTCAAACACAGCCAATGTGCCTGACTGAAGGAAATCCTGTGCAGGAGTCTTGGCATAGCTTTTACACTGGTTTAAATGTGAGGGGAAAAGAAAATAAAATCAAGTGTTTATTTAAGGCAGCCAAAATAGCCTTCTTCACTTCAAAACATGAAAGCCATTATATATATCTTAGAAGTCTTGTCGCTTGTCTAGGAAACTCACAACAATGATGTTAGGAACTTGGATAAATGTCATAAATATCAAGTTCCAAAGACCAGATGTCCAGATTCACAAAGAGTAAACAGTAATTCAGCTGGGGTCTAAGAGACAAGGGATTTGTCAGAAGATTAATTTTCAACATAGACAGATTAGGTTAGAAGGACTGAGTGTTCTAAAAGAAGGTTTCCTCTGCACAGTGCTGCCAAATATTTTGTGTTTACAGATCTCGCAGAAAAGCTGCTTCTTAAATATGCTTTTCCAAGGAGCGACGAAAACCTGCAAGGGATGCCTCAACTTCCAATTTTCTATAAGACTCAACTGGGCAAATTCTGACCGAGAAGCGACAAGGATAAATCTCCTTCCTTCAGGTATAACCTGGAAGATAATTTATCTCGCAGCCAGCAGGATGCTCCCAAGTGCTGCTGGAGCCCTAGCGCACGGTGGGGCAGGGAAATAAAAAGAAAATAAAACAGGGAAGGAAGGAGGGAAGGAGCCCCCTCTCCTCTCCCCTCCCCCACCGCCCAGGCCGCGCGCGCACCCAAAGGCCGCTGATGGGCCCCACGCGCGCGCGCGCGCCTCCCGCTCGCCCCGCGGCGGGAAAAGGGGCGAGGGGACCCCTCCGTTCCGTGCCCCAGGACCCACCGACGCCCGCCTGCTTGCGGCAGAAGATAAGGTCCGGGTGGTGCTTGGCCATGGCGAGGCGACACCCGCCCGACGCTGCTGCTGCCTCTACCGCTGCGGCCCCGCCGAGCGCTCACCGCCGCACCGCCCCCGGGTCCTGGCCGGAGTGAGCCCTGCTCGTGACAAAACGCCGTCGCCGAGCGGATAAACGCGGGGGATTGCCGAGATAAATCCTCCTCTAGGGAGCCGCTCCGCCACCCGCCTCCTCCCGCCCGGGGGAGCCCCGCGTTGCAGCCCAGGACCCCCTCCCTGTGGCGGGTGTGTCCCTGCCAGGACCCGTGCAACCCCGCCCCCAGGCGCGCTCCGGAGCCGTGAAATGGGTCGCGTGACGCCATCGCGGCGCGACTTCATCTTTGTCAGTGAACAAAATGGCGCCGTACTGCGTGCTGGCGGCTCGGCTCAGGGTGAGCGGCGGCGCCGGGCGGGAGGGACGCCGGGCGGGGAGGCGGGCGGGCGGCGAGAAGGCGGCGGGGACAAGGGCACTGCCCGCCGGGTGACCGAGAGGGAGGCCGCCTGCAGCCTCCGGGCTGGGCCGGGCCGGGCCGTCCCCGCCTCCGCGTGTAGGTCAGCGTGTCCCCGGCGCGGCCCCGCGCCCCGTTTCCATGGCGATGGCTGGGATGTCGCGGCGGCGGTGCGGCCGCTGTCCGAGCCCCGGGGCAGGGCGTCTCCCGCCGCTGGGCCCGGCTGGCCGTCAAGGTGAGCGCAAGGTGAACGGAGCGGCGGGGACGCGGCCTTGGCGCCGCCACCTCCTCGCCCCCACAGATCCCGCGGGGCCGGGGTCGCGGCCAGAGCCCCGGGCGCAGCGGGGCGGAGAGCCCGAGGGCGCGGGGACGAGCGATGAAATAAAAGGTCTTTCCCGGGGGCGTGCATTTTTCTTTCCTCATCTTCAATTCCTTCCTCTTATCAGCGTGGGGCAGCACAAGGTGACTCCTTGTTGTGCGAGTGAACTATCTTTTGACTACGTTGACTATTAAAAATCTTATTTTTAATACGGACAGAGGCCTCTGGGTGACAAAGATACCAGGGTCTATATAAAGGAGAGCTAGGAAGGGTGGAAAAACAGATGGAACAGACACATAAACTGCCGTTTTTTTCAAGACAGTAATAATGTGTCTCACAGTCTTGTCTGTCATGACCTCTAAAACTCACATTTGCCTGTAATATGAGCTTGCCACAGAGGTTCCCTTCCTTGAGAGATTGCTGTGTTTAATATGTAGTCAATAATAAAGTTTTCATAATGTTTTAAAGCCTGGAAGGCAAATATCAGGTGCAATATATTTTTTAGGGCTGCTAACATGGATATAATTGCTCCCCTTAGTATAAAGCATGTGATAAGGGCAGGCAGTGTAACTTCTCAGTTTCCCACTTGTGACCTTGGTCAGTGTGTTCCCTTTTCTTAGGAAACCAAAGTAAGAGCTCGTTTGGCTTTTAGTATTTTGAAAGTACTTTGTGAATCTTAATTCTGTTTTTTTATTCCTTACTTTAGAGGTAGGTGTTTTAGAAAAGTATAGATTTGGGGTTTTTTAATTTAAACAAAAGTCACAGAATAGCACCATTTCAAATATAACTTGGTATAGTTGTTCTTAGTTGTTAAATAGCTTCTAGTTTGTACTTTGAACAGAAATGACTACTCATAAAATGAAGGCAAATCTTTTATTAGGGTAATGAATTGGTTCTCATTTTATGGTGTGGCACTGCATGAGAACAAGCAGTCACTTGCTAAAAATAATATGGTATAATGTAAAACAAAGGCTGTGCTGACACAGTCAGTACGAGGAATTTAGTGTTCTGCGAGGTTGTCTTCTGTTACCAGGCTCAGGATGCATGTTTTGTTTCCCCCCTGTGAAGGACTAAATCTGTGATGGTAATCAAACATGCCTCTAGGTGACCTCTTAAGGAGGCAAAAATTTTTTTGCCCCTGTGTAGCTGCCTAGAGGTTAATGAATATGAGCATCATCTTGCCAGTCACTGTGATAGTGCCAGCATTGACCATGACACACATTGGTTCTACCCACCTCCTGTCCTGGAACTGTTTTGGAACTGGAAGTGCACAGAAAGCTTCCCTCTGAGGGAAATAACTTGGAATTAGCCTGACTTGGACTGAATTATTATTTAAAGTATATTATTATTTAAAGTATAGTTCTAATAACCTGAAAGGGTCAAGATCTTTCTCCTGCCTATCTGAGGTAATGCTTTTAGGTAGCATTCCATTTTTCAAGCTACATCGGCTAAGAATTGACCTAAAGAGAGGAGTGTAAAACTCTAAATTGCCTGAAATATCAGCGGATTATTGGAGACGTGGTAGGTAAGTACTGAAATTCTGTATGGGCAGCTTTGTGTGTGCTGGCAAAAATCAGTGTTGGCCTGGGCTAAACTGGTCTTCAAAACCATAATTTTGGTTGCTCTTTGGAGGTGGATCTAGAAAATTAGGCTGCATTTACAATTTGATTATACTGCTTTTCTTTTTAGACTGAGTCGTGGTGAATGTTGGAAACTTAGCCAGAGTTCATAAATCAGGGAGGATGAGAAAAGATGGTATTTTGTGTCTCAACTGGGATTTCTAGGACTGATTTCCCGGATAGAAGTGTAGGTAATGTGGTTGCTACTCTTTTGAACATGAGCTTTTGCTTACTGGACTTGTCTACCTTATTGGCTGCCAAAATGCAAGTTAGTTTCTGAATTCAGACTCCTCTTGCATCTGGGCCATTCACTGTATTGAGCTAAATGCAAGATAGCTAGGTTGAAATCCGTAAAGAGAGGTGTTGGCTTCCTGACAGAGACTTCAAAAATCACGACCCATTTAATAGGCTGGCTTTCTTGTGTCTTTTAAGGAAGCTTTTCACCTGGTAAAACACCAGTAGACTCAGGAGCCCTGTAATGATTACTGCCATTTCTTTTACTGAAATCTGAACACAGACATTCATATTGGGATAATGGATTCAATGCCAGATGAGAGGAGGTCACTTGGCAGCTCTTTGGTCAGCCTGGAAATTCCTGGATAAAAGGGAAAATGAATAGATTGCTGGCTGCCTACTTCCTTTGACTGTTGGTTGCAAGGTGCGTCTCACTACTCTGTAAAAAACACGCCATGGAAGCCCTCCAGTGCGCTGCTACATTCCCTCTCAGGGAAGAGTGAGGGGGAATGAAGCTGTTAGGCTTGTGACTTTTCTTTTATCTTGCAGTTCTGCCAAGATTAAGTTCTGCCAAGTTCTGTTTCTGAGGATGCAATGGATAAAAAACCATGCAGGGAGAATAGACTGATGAGTGATATGTTGTGGATTCTTTATGAGGAGAGATCAGACCTTCAGACCAGGCAGTGTATGCTGTTTACTTGGTGGTGGTGGTGGAGCCTCAGGCTTGCTGTGTGTCAACATGAGAACAACCATATTGAATCAATATTAACTCCCAGCAGAGTAGAGAGACGGGATTAGATTTACATCCCAGTAGAATGAAGATAGCACTTTTTTAATAGGTCTTTTAAAAAAGTCTTGTGTAGACAAAAGTGATTCTCTAGTCTCCTGAAACTGATTGGCCTAGGTGATGAATTTCCCCAAGTCTTACTGGCCATTACAGAAACACAGCTTCGGTTTTCCAGACTTCTCTTGCCAATTTCCATGTCCAGACAGAATGCTTCACCTTAAACAAGTTCCCTTCCTGCTTCTGGTAGCCTGCAGTTGTGGTCAAGCAGAAGTCAACTACTTTGTAGTGCTAATTCTGTGAGTACCAGCTGAGTATTTATTTAGTATTTGAATAAATATTACATTTCATCGTGCTGTTTTGTGAAATAAAAAGATACATAGACATGTATATTCAACTGAAAGGATTCTACCTTAATTTTGTTTGAAAACTCCCTTTGTACCTCTTTTTGGAGACCTTGCTTCAGATTTTTATTATAATCGACTTTGGTCCCAGGCAAGACTAAGATGAAGCCACTGCCATTCTTTAACTTGCATATCTGTTCTTTTGTATGATGAAGTAAGAAGAAATTACTGCATTAAACCAAAATAAATTTCCTGGTCTGGGCAAGAAATTATTTTTCCATGAACAGTGATTAAATCTCTCAGTGTATTTTCCAGCCACTTCAGCACTTGGAAACTTTCATGAGACAATGGATATCTTGTGAGGTAAAGACATTTCCACAGCATTAACCGTGCTGGGTAAATACTTAAGTTAGGGGGGAAAAGGCAGAACAAAGTAAACATAAAAGTTAAGTGGCTACCAGATAAAGTTCAGCTTTACCTAGTCGGTGTGTTAAACAGTGAAAAACTGGGTGGTGTCTGATGTGGTTTGGTTGTTGTTTGGTTTTTTTTTTGTTTTTTTTTTTTTTTGCTGGTGGAAGAACAAAATGTCTCAAGTCTGACACCTGTGACAAGTTCTGGAAGCTCTGAGCTTAAAGTGCAGTACAGTGAAATTTGATGACTGGGTTTCCTTTGCACTCCTGGAGGAGCAGTGCCCTCTTTGTACCGCCAGGTTCACATTCTTCAGATATTCTTTCATGAAAGTGGTGTGTAGCTGCCGTAGGTCTGTACTGCTCCTACCAAAAGCTGTGTGTATAATGGCTTAGGATCGTTTGGTAAAAATGCAAATGGCACCCTTACTGCCAGTGTGCTGGCTACTGTGATCTCACCTAGCTTTCCTCAACTTCTTATTGTGAAAGATGCTAACAAATGTCCTCAAAAGGACAATAAAACAAGAGACTTGGCTAAAAATTGGTGATGTCTCATTGATCGTGATTATTTTGGGCAATGTTCTCAATGCTGGTAACAAGAAAACTGGAAAAAATATCGACAAGGAAACATTAAGATGCTTTAACAGATCTAAAGAATCAACTGGTATTTTTGACAAGGCAAAAACAGTGGTAGGTACGATGATTGTGTTCTGCACAAAGGATATTTGCTGATTTACAGTCATGCACACAAAAGGGGTGTTTAGTGCAATACCACTGTGTTTATTAACTTGCACTTATCAAAACCTTGTAACGCTGGAGTAGAGGACGAATTAAAAAAAAGTGGGATTTAGATTAGAGTTTCATTCTGGAGGAGGAAGAACTCTGAATTCTTGTCTGCAGTCTGTTTCCAGATGACTGAGACTTTCAAA